CATTATTTCAGTTTGGATTTCGAAGAATGTGCTCACAAGCTTCTAAAAATGCAAATTAAGGATGAGCAATTGGTGAGTTACTGTACAATACATGGACAGTTAGTAATGGTAACAGGACTGAGTGGAGACCAATTCGGTCTGTAATCATACGAGTGATTAACAAACGCGGGAGTCCGATTTGTGTAATCACAAGTATGATTTCAGACTGAATTGGACTCCACTCATGCCTGTTACCAATTAATCATAGCTTCAACAAAATTAAAATTTTGTGATATATAAGGCTCCTTTTTAAATCAAAACTGAAGAAATTCCAATTTTGTTTTGCCAGCAGTGAAAAATGCCATTAATTTTAAGCACGTGCATGATGGCACGTTCTGTCCAATTACTTCGCATGACGCATACTGTCCTTCCTATTAATTGTCCTATTAAGGTTGAAATCAGGGCAGTTGATAGCTAATCAGATTTGAGAATTTTGTTATAGTTATGATAACTGTACTAATCGTAATAACAAAAATAAGTTTTGTCCAACTACGTTAATAAATTACGTGTAGATTTGCCAACCTAGGGGAATTGAGAAGCTGATGTTTTGAGCAGCTAGCCTATCATCAGAGCTAATCAAAGCTAGAGGATTATGCATTGTGTGTGGTTTTTATACGGGATGTCAGAGCTATGCTATTGGTCAGCGGGAATGTGGTAACATGAAAAACAAGAGTAAATTAGTTAAATGAAAAGGACTCATTGATTCCAGGGGAGAGTGCCGATTTGAAAGAAAAATTTTGCGTAGATTTTACCAGCTTTCTGTGTTGCCTTGGTGAAGAGAGTTATCACTGTTTGCCATATTTTTGCAGGAGTGAAGTACTACAAAATAAGATCTCATGATTGTTAAATGCTTTCTCCACTATCACTGGTGTAACAAGAAGATTTCATTTATGAAGAACAGAGAACTGCTTAACAAGTTGATTAATAGCATTTTAACTTTTGTTTTAATGCACTGTGGTTCTCATCTTTTTCCACAGCCAGAGTTCTGTACAATGATCGTTGATTGTTGTGCCCAGCAGAGATCATATGAAAAATTCTTTGGTTTGTTAGCACAGGTAAGTTTCTTTTAGAAAGATTACAACCCGTGAAATGACCAATACAGCCAAATCTTATTGCTCCCTTCCACCTGAGAGAGACTCTCTCTCGTAAAATGCCCCAGTTACGATGAGCAATGAGAGACATCTGTTTTTACAGGCTTGAACAATATAGGTTCAAACCAGGTGGAAGCTTCTTGGCGCAAATGAATAGCAATCCTGGAGAGATGCAAAAGTCTTCCCAAAAAGCAGTTTCAGTTTAAATATAGTTGACTCTCTCTTAATGGACACCTGTGTAAGACGGACACCTCTGTAAAACGGACACTTAGAGTTGGTCCCTGCCTTTCTTTACTCCCTTTATTTGACTCTCTATAAGACAGATGTCTCTCTAAGACAGACAGCTAGTGCCGGTCCCAAAGGTGTCCGTCTAAGAGAGAGTTGACTGTACATGTCGACTGCAAATAGTGTTCATCTCGCGAATCAAGACCCACATGTTATTTCATTCTAATAAAACAACAATCAGATGACATAAATCACTTCACATTATTGATAATTTTAAATTCTACTCTTGCCTTTTGTCACAGAGATTCTGTCAGCTGAACAAGTCATACATGGAGGAATATGTCAAGGCATTCAATGATCAAGTGAGTAAATCCACAACTGATAAAAATAAAATGATTTGAAGCCCTAAAATGAAAAAATTCACCACTATAGTATAGACACAAGAAGTAAACTGGGGAGAGTTAAGTTTTTGCAAAGAATTCTGGGACTTTTACTACTAAGGGACAGGGAAAACATGGGCCAATAGCTGACCGACGTGTCCTCAGTAATAATCCCAGAAGTCTTTGCGAGAGTTAACTTGTCTCAGTCTCCTTCAAGTTTCTGAAGTGGCAAAATTTAATGAAGAGCAGTTATGGAAAAGCTTAATATTATTTTATTGTCAATATTCTAGAGAATGGGAATCAAGAGCTTCCCAAAACATGGCTACTATCTAAACTGTAAAAACTGTAGGTTGTATCAACCAGATTGCAAAAGATTGACTGAATGTTAACCAGAAATGCAAAAACTTTATGTACTACACTTTGCTTCAACGTTTTTGTGTTTAGTAGATGTTCTTGTGGTCTTCCTTTAGTATGATACCATTCATCGCCTTGAAACAAACAAATTGAGGAATGTTGCCAAGTTTTTTGCCCATTTGCTGTTCACAGATGCCATTCCTTGGACGGTAAGTCTACTCAGCTACGGTCCTGTTGAGATTCAAATCGTCACTCAGTTAACCACGCCTACTGAAAACTTCTGAAGAAACCACATTGCTTTTTACTTTGTTGCATGTCTTGAAACCAAGTGATTTGTTGTTGTAAAATGACTTATTACAAGAAGTTTTCCCTAGCTCTTATAAAATTCAGTTAAAGATAATTTCAAACTTGAAGTAAGGTATTAATCGAAAACTCATTTTCGTGCAGTTGGGCATAGTCCTGAGGCTTAATACTTCTTGTTGCTGTATTTTAGGTTCTGGCTTGTATCAAATTAAATGAAGATGACACCACTTCCTCGAGGTTTGTTTAACCCTTACCTACAAAAAATACTGTTCGTAGCTCGTCACTGTCTAGCGAAAAGAAGCAAAACTTCCCGAAGTATTGTTGACAAGTCAAGAATTTTTTTGTATATTTAAGAGTTCGCCTTTGTATGGCAGGCAAAATTTCGAGATTGACCGGCAAAATCTTTCGCTTTCTTTACTAAATGTCTTCTCCTATGCATCACCCGTATTCTGTAAATATGTTTACGTGGTTTTATTTTCTTCTTTTGAATATTTTGCGTGGTTTTCTTTCCAGTCGAGTCTTCATAAAAATCTTATTCCAAGAGCTTGCAGAATACATGGGTCTTCCTAAACTCAATGAACGTCTGAAAGATCCGTAAGTATTTTGAGTGTTGAAGTTGTGTTTAGTTTAATCCTACACTTTCCCATTGGTTATCCCACAGGCGGCCCAAACTCATTACATGAACGCGGACGTGACTCTTGCTTGCGAGCGGTGTTGTGTTACAAACGGTTATTTACAAAGGCTTGTATGGGATCTATCGGTTTTTCTTTAAAGAGATAAAAAATGTTAATAAGGTACGTCGATGTTATTTAAAAACATAACATTTTTTATCTCTTTTAAGAAAAACCGATCGATCCCATACAAGCCTTTGTAAATAACCGTTTGTAACACAACACCGCTCGCAAGCAAGAGTCACGTCCGCGTTCATGTAATGAGTTTGGGCCGCCTGTGGGATAACCA